TCTTTGTTTTATATCATTTTCTCATAATAATTATATATCTTTTCTTTAATTATTTAGAATCATTTTTACTATACGCAGGTTTGTTCAATCAATTACAGAAAGTGAAAAGAAAAATGTGTCAACTTACTACAACAACTATTCAAAGTATAAACGAGATATTAAACCAAGGTTCGTCACTGCATGAATGAGATTTGGTATATTTTAAGAGGAGCAAATGGACTGTTTATCAAACTATTTATTATGAGTATCTCAAATATATCTTTTTGATTATGCTTGTAAATATTATTATTTAAATATCTAGAAGGTTCAATTTTACTTAATAAACATCGTGTATGTGTTTCGTTTTTTTTAAAAAAATTTATTGATTTATTTTCTTTTTTGTTCATTATTTTATGTAAAAATAAATAAATTCTTTGTGTGTTTTCGTAGGTGGTTACGAAAATGATAAATTGTTCATGAATAAGAAATTAAGAATGCTGAAAGAAAATTTTCTCGCCGTATACACTTTAGTTGATTATTGCTTTCATTGATATTACTTCTAACCATTTAAATATCAGAAGGCAGGCTTAATCTTAGTTTTAAAAAATAATGCCAATAAAATTATATTTTCTTCTGGACAAACTTTATTGGTTGAGAAATGAAATCAAACTTAATTTCGACATATTTAAAGTTTCAAATTTAGTTCCAACTTAAAAAAGAGTGAATTGTGTTTTTCAAATTAGAATGATCTCATTTTAGTATGTGTTGAATTTGTATTTTACATGAGTAATTTGAATGTAAGTTATTATAAATAGTTTAACAAATCAAAAAACTTAAGTTGAATTATCATCACAATTTTTTATTTTTTCAAAATATATGGGAGCTTGTAATTTAAAATCTATAGCTATATATATTTATATAAAGTTGGACATAAACAAGGTGATGTTAGATTATTTAAAAAATAGAGCACAATATTTAACTAGCAACAAGAACTAGAGAAACAAGAAAATAATTCAACATAGGAAAGATTGAAGGAAGTAACTAAACAAAAAGAGGAAGTAGGATTAGGAGATAATATCTCAAATGGTCACTCAACTATGAATAACTTTTTCAAAAATTCACTCAACTATGAGTAGTTTTCTCTGAAAGTCACTCAACTTTGTTTTATAACACAAAAGTCACTCAACTATGTGTAGTTATCTTAGAAAGTCACTCAACTATGAATAGTTATCTTAGAAAGTCACTCAACTATTAGTAATTCTACATAAAAACGTCACCCAACCAATTTAAAGAATTTTTTCATTAATTTTTGTTAACTTGAAATTTTTATTTTAAGCTAAATTTTTAAGAAATAAAAAGATCTTCATTATAAACTTTTTATTGACGTGTCCCACTAAAATTAAGTAATATATAATATAACAAAATTTATAACTATAGTTAGTAAAACAAACTTATATCTAAAGTACCAATATAAATTATAAATATAAAAACACACAACTCAGTTACGCATTTTATATAAAAAAATTAGCTTATAATTGAGTAATCAGTTAATTATATATGTCTACGTTTGAACAATAGTTAGACAATTATAAAGATTCCAATGTTTCTAATTATATGTGAAAAATTAGAGTAGCAAATTATGTCGTCATATTTGAGTGATTGCTTTAAATATTATTTTAAATGCATATAAAATGAAGTGATCTTGATAAATATATATTTCTATATAATTTTAGTGGGGTGCATCAATAAAATGATTAAAATTGACACTTTTTTTATTTTT